ATTATTTCTGCTGCCATTGTAAAGGACAGAGTTCACTCTTTATTCAGTCCTCAGGTGATTTTTGTGCTCTTAAAGGTCGAAATTTACCGAAACGTGCGGCTTTTTTTTGGTGCCGTTCTGAGTAGCACGAAATGTTCTTTGGTGGCGGGCAAAGCGGTTTATGAGCCCTTAAAGGGAACATTTTGCCAATTTTTCAAAAACTCTGCAGAAAATTTTCGTGCTTCTTCCAAGTAAATTATCAAAGTCCCGAGCGCTAACCGACGGTTGTTGCGCCCTTTAAAAACATGTCTTTTTTAAATATTCATTATAATTTGCCTGGTTGTTGACAGGCGAATTTTGGAAATCCCAGAGCGCCTACAGGGGGTTCATTTGGTAGAGCAAAGGATCTTCCCCAAAGTGTTTTTTTTTGTCAAATACCGAACAAAGTTATTTTTTAAATACTCTACCGAACTTTTCTTAAGCAAAACTCTAAAATAAATATGGGTCGCCTACCTGATGGCCATTCTCAAGATTTCATTTTTCGACAGTTTCTTATCGGGAGGATGAGTCGGGACCAGTTTTCTTAATTCCGCAAAAGCCCCGCTGACATTCTGCTGCCTCCACCTCTCCCGGCTGTTCGTAAATATTTTCTTAACAAATCCCCGCTGATGTGATTCCTTGGGGGCCTAAAACCCAAATAGCATTTGATATTCTACGAATATCCCAGAATGTTCAAAAAATATACAGAACATTGCGGGAATATCCTGGGAATATACATAGGTGAACATTCCTAACATGAATGTTCGTGAAATATACATGCATGTATATTCATCAAAGTTCATAAAAAGTATATTCTAGGTATGTACATATATGTACATATTGGGTATATGTGCAGATGAACATGCCAGGTATGTACATATTGTGTATATGTGCAGGTGAATATACCTACTATGTTTAAAACAAATATTCCGGTAATATACATGAATGTATATCTACGGTATATTCCAAATTGGTTGAATATACATTTTGCGTGCCCGCAGCAGAAAAGTGAGGGCATATAAAAGTAAATCTTCTTACTACTAAAACCTGAGACCCTTATGAAATACTGAAAATATGAAGTTTTGATTAACAAATTAACAAAATTTATCGAAAATAAATTTTGCGTGCCCGTCGGAGAAAAGTAAGAGCACGTACAAGTACAAGGTTTTATATGAACTTTTCTTTTTAAATGCGTCAACGTTATAATTTTATTGGGCAATATTAATAAAATTTCTATATTACTCAAATAAATTTATCCGGA